GACACACCCACACACCAGGCGTTTACACAACCAGGGGATTAGAAGGAGCTGTCGCCGTCTGACTCCGAGTCTACTCATTAACAACCGCACATACAGAAAGTACACTGGGCTGATGGCGTGCCTGATAGGTAAGTCGGCTGGCTGCCTTCTCAGTCATGGTAAACCATGACAGTCTCACAAATGTGTCACACATGCAGCAGGAGCTACCCGTGGAAAGAGCTGAGGAGAGACCTTACGTAATTACAATGCCAGACCTATGAAGACACACACACAAGTACGCGCACCCTTCAAGTTCTTCCTGAAGTCATGCACAGTCATGGGCACGTTCTGCCGCTTGGAGTTGGGATTATGCTGGTCCGTGTTGAGCATGAGGATGGCGTAGGAGAGAGTAAAGGCAGCGTCAGCGTTGGCGAAGGGCGCGTCATTGTCCTGGAACCACTGCTCAGCAAAGTGCTCCATCAGGTGCTGTATGAGCGGCGCCTCACCCGGGATCCGGAAAGCTTCAAGGTAAGCGCGTAGAGCCTCGTCAATACGTGTGCCACCAAAGTTGAAGTGCCTGCGGGGAGCGCGGAAAGAAAGGGAAGTCTGGTGGTTAAGCATAACAAGCAGAGAGGGGCCGAAAACTAACAGCAAACAAACTGCGTTCGAAGGCAAGTGTGAAATAATTTCCTTCTTTAGGGTAGATGAACTAAAAGCCAGCCAAGCAAAATGAATATTCGTGTGGACCTTCGGTTACATGTGCGGTCGTGGTCCGTGCCCCCAAGCCCGCTGCGCTATTATTCAGCAACGCGGATCAAACCGTGACATGTTTCAGAGGGTGGTGTTGAGTCTGCGTGAATGACAGTTCAGGTCCCACACTGAGTGGGTGCAGTGCGTTCAGGATTAACTGAAGACGGCAAACGTAAGAATAGTTTAGTCTCTTCGTCACAGTCTACGTGCCATCGTGGACAGCCGGCAACAGAGTCATGCAAGTTTTATGTTAGGATGACATGATTGGGCTATTGTGACCACCAAAAACCCGAGTGGCTTAGATACTGAGCCCGGGATTGGTCGTCCATTGTGAAGTTTCTCAAGATAGTGCTGCTGTGATCATGTAGGGCCTTTCACCTCCTGGCATGAGGTCACGTGATTGCAGTTATCGGTCCGCCTCGAGGAAAGCCAATCACAAGTGCCGCAAACTGCACCAACGCTCAACCTCTCACGGTGGCGAGCAAATGCACAGACACTCCAACGCCAATCTTCTCCAATCCAGTATTACCAATCATCTCCCTGTGACGCTGACTCACAAAAAGACCGTCCTGTAGACGCTGTGATGACTCCCGAGCGCACACACTTCTCGGGTGCAGCTGCGAGCTCATCTCCAGGCAACTTCCTTCTTCCTATGCTCCACTATATCTGCACAGAATACGCTATTCGACCTGCCATCTGGCGTCTCACTGCTTCGCTTTTTACACGGAACCGGGCCTGAAGATCGCAACGCCAAAGGTTTTCCTAATTAACTTTACTCACTGCCACAGTGTCACCAGGTAGATAAGTTTATGCCTGGAGGTTAAACACCTCACAACAGTATCAGCAGCAGTGGCTGTAACGGACGGTCCTATTAGGAGTCAGATCACAACGTTGGCGGCATATGATCAATTTTCAATCGTGTTTTGGCAACGTTTGGTAAACATGCAAACATGTTTGGCAAAAAACATGCACATCCACATAAGTCGCCATTTTAGTGCTTGCCAGGTTACAGACGAAATTTCGACCGTCGCTCTCGACGATGTCCACTACAAGTCTCAGCAAGCTGTAGGAACACGGTGACTCTCGCGGGATTATAGGGAAAGTAGACTCGCGGAGAATCTACCCCACTCTCTCACCACTCCCATACTGGGGTTCGTTGTCAAGACAAAAGTCAAGAAGACCGGAGATGGAGCAGGGCGCAGGCAGCTGGCGCGACCAACACTCAACACGCGTACCAACAGCACACCCCGCTAGCTAAGCTCCGGCCATATGAGTAAGTCATCCAAAAGTCATGATGAAATTGGACTTGGTAATTTAACACACATTTGGTCACGTCATTTTGATCTGATGAGTGCAATAAATCCAGAGAAAAGAGGTTCGTGTGATATCTGAGTATCTGTCCGGGCCATAACCCCACCACACCCT